AATTAAAACCCAACAGGCAGTAGCAGGGAGGCACACTCACGGTCTCACTCACGCTTACCCTTTGGAGATGTCATTAAACTTGGTCAGACTCGGAATAAATCTGGCTTGTGCAAGAGCGAAGTGTCACACCCCAAAAGCAGCGGTGGCAGCGTGCGGAGACCTCCCCAGGCTGCCGTGCTGTGTCATGCTTGGGGCATGCGTGGGCCCGCGCTGCCTGCCGGGGCTGCCTGCGCCGCGGCAGAGAGGAACGGTGACCGAGGCAGGGACTGCCTGCAGTGCATCTCTGGTGTGCCCGAGCAGCAAAGGCTCTGCGCGTTCGGGTACGGAGGGTGCCAAGGACCATGGTCCAAACCTCTCCCCCTCCATGGCAAAGCCCCTCCTGGAGCCCAAGGGCAGGGCGAGCTCGAATGGCCAGTGCTGGCCCGGATGGGCACGTTGGCACGGCCGAGGGGGCCAAGAGGCCGTTCCAGCCTCCCCCAAGCCTGATGTGTGTTCTCCTCCCCAACAGATCGCTCGATGAGCAGCTCGCTCTCTGCCTCCCAGCTTCACACCGTCAGCATGAGGGACCCGCTGAACCGGGTGCTAGGTAATGGTGGGGCCGGGTCCCTGGGGGTACTGGTGGCAAGGGGTCAGATCCAGCCATGCCGAGACACTGGTGGGGACCTGTCCCCTGTGCGGGAGGCTTGGGCCACTCCCGGCCTCCCTCAGCTGGCCTGGCTTTTGATATTTCCCTGTCTCCACAGCAAACCTCTTCCTGCTCATTTCTTCCATCCTGGGGGCCAAGACGGCCGGCACCCACACCCAGTTTGTCCAGTGGTTCATGGAGGAGTGCGTGGACTGCCTGGAGCAGGGCAGCCGCGGCAGCATCCTCCAGTTCATGCCCTTCACCATGGTGAGTCCCGCGGCCGTGACGTCCTTCTCCTTGGTCACAGGGTGCTCTGGGACGCTGGTCCCGCAGGACAGACGGGCACATCCAGTGGAGTCCCACTGCCCGGCTCTCGTGTCTCCAGCGCTGCTGTGAGTCAGCTGTGTTTCTCCTCTCTCCGGGCAGGTTTCAGAGCTGGTGAAAGTGTCCACCATGTCCAGTCCCAAAATTGTCCTGGCCATCACGGATCTCAGCCTGCCCCTGGGTCGCCGTGTTGCTGCCAAGGCCATCGCTGCGCTGTGAGCAGGGCACCTCCCTTCTGCCGTGCAGGAGAGGGCTGCCGGGCAGCCGCCGGGGAAGCCGTGAGAACCTGGACGCTGGGCTGGGACTGGGATGCCTGGGACAGCCTCTCTGTCCCCGCGGGCTCAGCCTGGCCCTGCCCAGGGGCTGCTTCCCTCTGCGTTCGGCCTCCCAGAGGCATCCCCTTGCTGCCTTGCGATGGGCAGTCAGAGACTGAGACAAACCCTCTACTTTTTTTCTATAATTAATTCAGCCTTTTTGTAGACTCAGGCTTTGCTTCATTTCTGTTTGGTTTCCTGACTGCAACCGGAGACCCTGGGGCTCCCCAAAACCCTCATCTCGGGGCAAGCTTGATGGCGGGGGTGATGGGAGAGTAAGTGGCCAAGACCTGCGCTGGGCAGAAATCGCACTGGCTCTGTCCCTGACTCCCTTGCCCCGACCCCGGAGAGGGCGGTGGGCTCCCCGCGGCGCTCCCTTTGGGGAGCGGGTGCCTGCGGCTGGCCAGCTGCAGATGTGCGGCTGGGTGGAGCGGAGATGCTTTCCTGTCGCGCTGTAAGCTGCAAGCAAATTCTTGTTGGAAATTCCTCCACGTGAGCATGAGTTCACCTCGCGTCCCCGGCTGTCAGCACGGCACCCAACGGCCAGTGAGTAACCGCGGCCTTGCCGGTGCCATGCCAGCCTCGTGCTGGGAGAGGCTGCTCCGCGGGGCTGTCCCGACACCCAGTCAGCTGTTTCGGTGGTGAATCCACCTGTAACTGTCACGAAACCCCGACCCTGAGGGGGTGGCAGGGCCGGGACGGCTTCGCCTCTGCTCCTTTCATTTATGTTTTCCACTTGATTCACGAGAAAGGGGGAAGCGGTGCCTGGGGCGGCCGGGCACCAGCCTTTCCCTCGGGGTGCCTCGGCTCGGAGCCTGGTCCCGGCTGCATCCCCGGGGCTGGGCTGTGCCTCCTCCCCTCCTCAGCATTAGCGGGGCTCGCAGCCCCTCTTTCGGGGTCTCCGAAGCGAGTGCTTTGGTGGTGCCGGGGGAGCGGTGCCGCAGGGTTTGGGTCAATGTTGGTCAGGGAAAAGGCAGCCGGATGGTGACTCAGGGCCTGCCTGACCCCTGCCTGCTCCCCGGGATGATCTCAGCTCTTGGCTGCTCATGGGCTTTGCTGGAGGGAGAGACCCCAGTGTGGCCGGCGGAGGAGCCTTGCCGTGCTCGGGGCGGCTGCGGGTGCTGCCCGGGGGCCCAGGGCGCGGCTGGTCCTTGGCTACCGCGCACCTGAGCATCCTGCCCCTTCCCGCTGCCTCCCGTGAGTCCGGCCCCAAGCTGGCAGCAGCCTGGCACACACCGCTGCGAGGGCAGACGGGGAGCGGGGCGCAGGGCTGGGTGGAGCGGCTAGTGGAGCTGCGGCACGCACCGGGGTGGGACGCGGGTGGAGGGTGAGCTGGGCGAGGGCTGCCCTGCCGGAGGGCTCGGTGCCGGCCTGACATGGGCATGAATCCTGCGCTGAGCTGGCACTGACTTGCCCAGGCACCCTGCAGCGCCTGCTCGCCCAGGGGCGGCTCTTTACCGTTAGCTCGGAGCAAAGAGCAAGACCCGGCGCTCTCGGCCTTCCCAGCTCTGTCAATATTTGCCGGTGGCAGCCCTGCACTCGGCGTTGGCGCCCGGCATTTCACCTTCCAGGAAAGGGCTGGAGCGGGAGAATGGGTTTCCTGTAAACGCCGATAAGCCAGGGGAGGAAGGAGCAATGGCTCTCGCCGGTTGCTCTTCTGGGAGCTGCTGCAAGCATGGGCAGCAGTGGCTTCCCCGTGGCAGGATCGTGGCGATGGTCCGGGACGGGGCAGTGGGCGGCAGTGGGGTCCGGCCTCATGCCTGCCCCTTCCTGGGGCTGGGAAATCGGGGGAAGGCAGGAACGGGCACCCACCGGAGCTCGGCTCTGTCTCCGGCGTGGCCGGGCTGAGCGCGGCGTGGGGATGCCAGTGGTCATGGGACGCGAGCATGGGACCGGTGGGAGGAAGTGGGGCTGGTGCAGGGACAGCCCGCTGTGGCCAAACTCCTGGGGGGGAGCAGGGAGAGGCCGTGGGCCGGCTGGGAACGGCTGTGGGGATTTGCCGGGCCCGGGGGGGAGATGCTCAGGTCTCCTGGCTCTGCCGGCTTCACTCGGGCACGTCCGTTTGTCCGTCCATCTTGCCTTTCTCACTGCTGGAAGTCCCATCCCATCGTGGCAGCTCCAGGCGCGTCCCCGGGCAGCTCTGGGGCAGATTCCCCTTGCAGCAGCAGCAGCAGAGGGGTGGCTGGGCCCCCACCCCACCACCACCAACCCCGGGGCCCGCGGCGCAGCCACAGTGCCCAGCTCAGCTCCGCTGCTGCCGCAGCAGAGCCCTGGAGCACTCATCACACCTGTGCTCACCCTCCTGGCCACCCCTGCACGGGACGGGGATGCTCCGCGCTGCCGGGACGTGGGTGAGCCCCCGCAGAAGCTGCCGGCGGGGGCCGGCATGGTGCCGGTGCCAGCACCGGGGCTGCTCCCCACGGCCTCGGGCTGACGCCCTCGGCTCGGCGCTACCAGCGCGGGCGGACTCCGGCGCTTTCTAGGAATCGGCTCTTGCCCCAACGGCGGTGCCGGGGGGGGGGGGGAGGCGCGGCCCCCC